CTACAACCCATGTCTAAGCAAAAGCTTGTCGAGGAGCGAGGGGAAGAAGGGAGAATTGTGTTGTCAATTATTTCACGTTTTTTTCCTGAGTATTGGTGTTGGGTATTTGTGATGACGTCACTGGTTTTGTAAAGAGGCGCGGCAGAGATGGCGCGGATAACCCAGGTGCCTTAATTGTGTAACTGCATCATCGTCGAAGACCCCTTCCATGTGGAACGATTCCTAGTCAGTGTTGATGTTTACACTGCTGTGTCTTCGCACAGTTGGTCTAACACAGATGATGTGGATAGATTCGGGTGATTGTCAATTGCAATGATGGCTTGGTTGGTTGTTCTTCTTCATTGTATGTCCACGGACGCATTCTGACAGCACTTCAGACAGCAGCTGCATGCCCCGAGCTTGTGTACCATGCACCATGGTGTTGTTATTGTACAGGCAGCACTTCAGACAGCAGTACGCTGTATGAAGTAGTCGACAAACATTCATTTTGGTGAAGTGCGGGACAAGGGGGGATGATGCTGCTGCGGTAGTCGAGTTTCAGTGTGTGGGCGTGTAGTCCAGTTGTGAGCACGCACACGTGCTGCAGGTTGTATGTATGTAAGTGTACCTCCTCGGGCTTGTTGTATACCCTTTTCTTGCTAATAGTGTGCGTGTTCTTTAGATCTTTTGTGCGTGTTCTTTTGATCTTCTAATGGCTCCAGCATTTTTGTGACCACGGACCGAGTCTTTGGTGTTGGATACATGTGCTGGACGGATGAGGTGGTGTCACGCAGACTGGTAATATTGCCGTTTGGTAGGGGGCACGGCGATGATTCACGGGGCCCCTCTTTGCTGTGGGAGCCGCCCTTCGAGCACTCCCTCTTTCGTCCGTGTGAAGGACGGTCGTCTACCTCTCGTGAAGTTAATACATCACCAAAACAGTCTCACCCGATGAATAAGTGGCGTAGGCCGGTAACACTCTAGAGGAGTTTTTGCCCCTCAAGGGAAGCCACATTGGGATGAGCTCTGCTGGAGACAAAGAGCGCACTGCTGCGAGCGAAGAACAGATCCACCCGCCGGTGCAGGAGGGCCGTGATGCGGAGCTTGCAGGTTTGCAACTGCAGGTTTCGCGATTGGCGGCCCTGGTGGAGGAGTCGATCAAGAAGAAGGAGCCTGGCAGCGTCGTGGCGGATGCGCCCAGTAGTGGCGGCTGGGTTGCCGCCACCGAAGGCCAACAAGAAGCGCCCATGCAGCCGCTCGGTGGTGGCGGGGGATTTCTCCAGCAGCAAGCGAGAGATGGTGGGTAAGGACCACGGCAGCTGCTGGAAGGCGGCTGGGCCAGCAGATCGGGAGCGAACCCTGTTGGACCAGCCGGAGTGGGCCCGGGCATAGGACCGGACTACGGGGAAGCGAGGGGGTTAAACCCCCCAGGTGAGATACCCGTGATTCGAGGAAATGGAGAATTCCTCGACGGCTACAGCAGTAGCCACATGAACAGAGTAACAGTCAATGCCCCGCGTCTCGAAGGGGAGAGTCGCGGCCATGGGTATGACTCGTGGAGAAAGTCGCTTATCCAAGCGGCCAAGACTGTAGGACTAGACGGCCAATTGGTCGGCAACAACGAGAGACATGCACCTGTCGGCAACCCAAACGTGCGAAGCTCGGAGCTGTACCGCCTCCAAGACACCAGCGACGAGGTCCAGAGAGGCCTCCAAGCGTTCCATTTTGTGACCACTGCCATCGTCAGAGAAGCCGACAAGGCGATCGTGAACAAATGCGAGACCGCAAAAGAGATCCTCGCGGAACTCGACAAAATCTACGATCCGGAATCGCAGGGCTCGAAACAAGCCCTCATGAAGCAAATGTTCAACTTCACGATCCCCACACACAGCAGCAGAAACCCCATCGAGCACCTGTACTCGCTCGAGCTGCTGTACTCACGCCTACGGAAAAAAGGGCTCAACGCTGACGCACCCTTTGTACTCGCCCACTTCGTTCGTTCCCTCCCACCCGAGTAACAACAAGCGAAGTGCCTGTCGGAGACAGCAACGGCGCTGGATAGGGCCGAGATCGTCAGAATCGTGAGCACGGTGCACGCGAGCCTTCCGGAGGGGAGGAAGGCCTCGAAGGGCCAGCGGAGGGCGGAGCACGCTCTCCTCGCGAGCGACGGTAGCGGTGGGGGAGGAGCGCCGGGCCGCGGCAACGGTGGCCACCGCAAGGGTGGCAGCGGCGGCGGCGGCGGCAGCGGCAACGGCAACCAGAAGGGGAGAGGGGGTGGTGCGAAGGCTGGTGGCGGCGGCGGAGGCGGCGGCGGAGGCGGCGACGACGATGCGAGTAGCATGCGCGGTCGCTGTTTCCGGTGCGGTAAGAAGGGCCACCAGGTGGCCAACTGCCCCGAGAGCAAGCCCGTGCGATGTGAGACATGCAAGGGCTACGGCCACGACAAGAGCAAGTGCCCGACCGAAGAGGCGGTGCTCGTGGTGGAAGTGCCGGCGGGGAGGGCGTCTGCGGACGCCACAGCACTGGACGTGGCAGAAGAGGCGCTGGTGGTCGGTGACATGTCAGGCGAGTGTCACAAAGTCGTTGGTCGAGGGGGTGTAGAGCAGGCTAGGCGGGGTAGGTATGTTGCCGATGCCGGCGCTACCACCCACATGTTCGCGAACTCAGATGGGTTCGTCCGATATCAGGAGGGTGATCGACATGAGCACGTCGCCGCCGGAGAAACCTTCCTTGTTGTAGGGTACGGCAACGTAACGGTCACCCTTAGCTCGCGCGACGGGACGACACCTGTTCTTGAAACGGGTTGCACACGTTCCCCTATATGACTACAACCTAGTATCTCTGACGCCCCTCTTCGACGACGGGTTCAAAACCAAAACCCTAGACAAACACGAGTTGGAGTTGGAGAAAGAGGAGGGGAAGTCGGTGTACTTCCCCCGATGCGGTAACCTGTAGGTCCAAAACGGTTTCCGCACACACAACGAAGATGCCTATACCGCAATTGCTCCTGGCAACGCGAAAGCGTCCAGCACCCCCGTTGACATCAACGATTTCCACTGCGCGCACGGCCACTCCCACGAGGTGCTGCTGAGGACCACGGCGAAGCAGCAAGGGACGACGCTGGTG